CACAATGACATGATACTAAATGCTATGGCAAGTCTCTGTAAATGTGGTGGTAGAAATAACTGTCATATGACAAGGGACGCTCACTGATCCAAGGGCATTTTATAGGGTTTGTTTGGCACATATTTTGTGGATAGTTGGCACAAGTTAATTAACATTTAATAGAAACAGTGAGATAGGACAGCGCCACATTCAGTTGTGTTATTTAGTATGCTGTTTATTGTATGTGTGCAGTGTATAATATAAAATTATATGTTTGAGACAATAGTCCTACAGGACAGGGTGCCATCCAAGCCTACCTACATCAGGAACTCTCTTCACTACATATTACTTCATGTAAATGATATAAGATGTATACATGTAATTAAACTGAATATGTTGAATATTTGTAAAACATTTCTATAATGTATTTACTCAGGGAGATAATTTCTTGTTTAAACACAGAAAAATGAAAAATGTATCCTCACCTTAACAAAATGGATGAATGTTGGTCAAGAGGGCAATTATTTTTGTGTTACATTTTTTGTGAGAGCTCTTCCTACTGACCCAGAAGTTAACACAGCATCATCCAAAACCTGTACCAACCCACCTCATTCTGCCCTACACAAACTGGGGTGCTTTGTGAAATACTCAACATTTTAACCCTTTAAATGGTCAGGGCCCACCTGTGGTTTTATTACACACTTCTATGATCAAGAACAGCTCAGCCAGTTTTCACCAAAGTCCATGTAGTTACTGAATAATAAGCCTTAGTATGTAATAAGTCTGGGATTTGAATGGGTTAATTTAACAGGAATAATAACCACCAGTTTAATTTCAACCGTAATATGATGGACAACGTAAGCAGTGTACAAATTCAATGACATTTCTATTTAGTAAGAAAAAATGCACAATGCTTTTGGATTGAAACATTGTAGCTTCTTAGTTCGACAACTAGCTATTCATTTTATGGATGGAAGAGTGCATTCTCACTGGCCCTGTGATGGACTGGCAACCTGTCCAGGATGTTTCCTGCCATCTGCCCAATGATAGGCTTCAGCACCCCTCCACAACCCAGAAGGATAAGCGGCTTAGAAAATGTGTGTGTGTGTGTGTGTGTGTGTGTGTGTGTGTGTGTGTGTATTCTTACTGTCAGGTCAGCATCAGTGGGCAAAGAATTATGCAAAGTATTGAATTTTCAATTAGTGCAATTAATGTCTTACATTTCTAACATGTTGTGTACTTGTGTTTTAACCTTCTGGGGTCCACGAATGTGCCTGCACATCAAATTCAATGGTCCCTGAACGATGAGATTGTACGTGACTCACCTGCAGACTTATGAGGCTATGAAGAGGGGTTGAGATACACATATGGTTGCCACCACAGCCCTGTAAAATTCCTGGACACTCAGCCTTGATTTTTTTCCCAAAGGTTAGTGAATGGGCAGCTATGCTCACAGTGCAGTGAGAAATAGAGAAATAAATGACAGTTCAGCTACTTAACCTGATCTTCTCAATTATCACTTTGCAATGATGCTAATGCCTAAGCATGTCACCAGCAGTGCACAATTCCCAAACAGTTGTCCCTACTTAGAGAGTAATCTGAACTAATCAAATCTATTCTTGTATGCAAATGATCTGGATAAAAAGAAAAAGCAATACTAGCATATGGATTCAATTTATTTAAACAGAATCAATTTATTCCTGGACAGGCAACCAAAAACCTGGACAATCCAGAGAAATTGACAGGTGGCAACCCTAAATACACATCTGCTTTTCACTATGTGTAATTGGTGGATTTGTGTGTCCATCTACATTTTGTGTGAAACTAACCAATGCACTCAGGGAATCACTAGAATTTACCCATCATGTCAGTAACACTTCATTCTTCATTCAGTCAACATTGGAGACACATGAAATGGCATGCAAAGAGTTTACAGCTGCTGAAGTTGCTGCAGTGGTTTTGGAAAGTAGTGATGATAATGGAGTATTTTGATATGAAACATATGGGTTATGTTATATGCAAGTGCCTTTAAAGGCTAATTTAAGAAGACAGGCAAAAATTGAGAAAATGCCCTTAGACCCCAGAGGGTTAAGGATCAAAGCTGTTGAATATAGGAGGGTTTTTGACATTTGTCCCTGCTGACACTGGGGCTAATATTAACTAGCTAATCAGAAGGATCACTCTATTCTCTTTCATTAGCAACAGCTGGAAGGCTAATGGTAGCTAGCTGATCAGGAGGATCACTCTATTCTCTTCCATTAGGAATAGCTGTAGGCCTAACGCTATCTAGCTGATCAGGAGGATCACTGCTCTCTTTCATTAGGAACAGCTGTTGTAAGGCTAGCATTAGCTAGCTGATCAGGAGGATCACTCTGCTCTCTTTCATTAGGAATCGCTGTAGTATGCCTAATGTTAGTTAGCTGATCAGGAGGATCACTGCTCTCTTTTATTAGAAATCGTTGTTGTAGGCCTAATGTTAGCTGGCTGATCAGAAGGATCACTCTGCTCTTTTTCATTAGGAATAGCTGTTGTAAGGCTAACAGCTAGTTACTCAAGATCACTGTTTAGCTGCCTTTTGTTGGGCTGAGGATGATGGGGTGGTCAGTGTTCTTAAGGCCCAACTGGTAGAAACCACACAACCAATGGGTTCTGGTTCTTGTTCGTTTTAGTTCAGTTTGACTCTTGAACTCTTAAAATACTCTTGAGCAGTATTAATAAATTACAATTTTTGCAGGTTTCAAACTACAGGCAAGTAAATGCATTCAATAAATTGTGTCAACCACAAATGGCAAAAAAGTGATAGGCTAATAGTGATTTTTTAAAAAATGTTAAGCATTAACAAAGAAAAATGCAAACTCCACTTTACCTCATGTATACATACTACATACTATACTTAAGCTCTTTTTTTAACTGTTGCGGTTGATAAATACTGAATACCAAAAGTCAATGCAGCACCCTGGATTCTCCTGTTCCTGGCATCATTGCAAAAGCTCTCAAGGTCTTAGCATGTTGGATTGTCAGTCATTATGTGTTCTACGCTGCCTGTTAGCAAGAACCTTTATGTGGAATCAGAGATGGTGAAGTGTGATTGATTGCAGCAGGGAATGTTCCGGTTCAGCGTCTGTTCGCAGCTGTGCAATTTTTTGTTTCACTTGAATGAATTGGGGTGAGCATATGCCGTCTTTAGACGTGCCATAATGCCAGCTGATACAACTGGCTGGAAGGCCAGGCTAGTTGGCGCTGGTTCAGGATCAGGTATAGAGGGCCTTCTACTCCTGGAGCATGAAAGCGCCTGCTGTGGTTACTGGTCCGGGGTCATTAGTATTCCTCAGGACCTTCAGCAGCGGTGCAGGCCCCTGCAGTCCCTGCTGAATTAATTAAAGTTTATATTGCTCAGTGGAGCAGTGAATATGTGGGTACCCAAACAAAAGGCTTCACCTCATGCACAGTTATACTTGCATAGTTAGCCACCACAAACTCCTCTTCCTTACGCTCTGCCAGATAATTGCCCTGGCCTCATGCAGCAAGCCAAGCAAGGTTGATGAACATCACTTAAAAAGCACACAGAGGTGGCATTAAAGTAATCATACTTGAACTGGAGACAGAAGGTAGAATGGCACTGATTGTTTTCTTTCATGCACTGGTTCACATATGGAGCGTGATGGTATTGGTTTATAATTCCAGAATGTCCATTTATTTCATCACCCTTAGCTTTACACATGCACACACACAAAAACACACTGACAAGCATGACTTATTTATCCTCTCTTTGCTGTATCAGTAGTAGTATTTTGTTATTGCGCCCTGCTCATTGTTTTAAAGAAAAAGAGCAGCAGCATCACCCCAGCTCCAATGTTAAAATGCTATAAAACTATCTAAAGGTTATAGGGATAGGCTGTAGGGCTTTAAAATCATTGCATTAAATCGTAAGCCCTGTAGCCGCCTTATTGTGTCAAAACCGTGCATTTCTAGTCCAATCATGAAAATGGTTTAAAATGCAAACCCTCATTTTTCCCAAATTTCTGCATGATTAAATTGTTAATGTATAAAAAAGAAATAAGAATGGTCTGATGTGAAAGGTGCCAGTCTAGAGAAACTCACTGGCTTAGAATTGTTCAGAGTGATAATATAAACTATACGTCTGAAGTGGTTAAAAAGCTCTTACATGAAGTTATTACATGAAATTATTACGATGTGTTGCCTGACGATTCAAGATGGCTTTGAGAAAATGTTTTGGCCTAAAACATACAACCTACTTAAAATCTATCTATTTATCTATCTATCTATCTATCTATTTATGTGTGTATACATATCTATGTCTTACCTACACACACACACACACACACACACACATATATACATATATATATATATATATATATATATATATATATATATATATGTGTGTGTGTGTGTGTGTAGGTAAGACATAGATATGTATACACACATAAATAGATATATATATATATATATATATATAGTTTTGTGATAGAAACAGTTAAGTTTCACATCAAACCACTTTGAACGACTTTGTTTACATCTCAACGACTGAGTTATGCAGAAATTTTGAAAAATCGGTGGAATTCCCCTTTAAAGCTTATGCTGGAACACGTCTTCCTTATAAGCCCCTCGTCGCTTTATGCGAGCCTGCTTTAGTCGAGGAATGTCAAACGACGTTTTAAACATGTTAAGCGTCCAGAGGTCTGGGCGTTCCGGCGGCGCTGCGATAATCGACTGTGAAAATGGACTTTAATGTCGCTGCACATCCAGAAGGGCTCCACTAAAGCCGGAGAGGCTGCAGAGTGAAAGCGAGTGAAAGCGAGCGGATGCTGCCTCGGTGCGTCTGGCGCGAATCCGGCTGCACGAGCACCGCGCGTGGCACGTAGAGAGGGAGAGAGAGAGGAGAGAGAGAGAGAGAGAGAGAGAGAGAGAGAGAGAGAGAGAGAAGTGGGTAAGGGAAAAAAGAGACCCCCACCGCTGTCTATCATGTGAGCATATTCCGCGGGAAGCCGCTGGAAGAACTGGAGCCGGAGCGCTGAGGGAGCCGCCGCTGTCCGTCAGCACACAGACACTCCATTCAGCCGCTCGGACATCAGAGAAGAAAGAGGACGAAGAGAAAAGTGAAAGATTCCCATCTGTCGACGCCTTAAATATCGCGACTTTAGTTCGTTTTCCGGTACAACAGTACAACGTCGGCGCAGTTTAGCCTGTGATTCAGTTTATTTTCTTGTTACTTACCGGCTGTTTACTTGTTTTTTCCTTTAATAGCTAGTTTGAAAAAGCGGAGCGACCACTTTACCGGAGAGTCAACAGCGTGGAGATGTCCTTTCTATAGCTTATCCATTTTTCACGGGTAAGTGACGAGGAGCTCTTCGGTTCCCATACAGTAAAACACTGTGTTCTGTTTTGACTGTTTTTGGATGGAATAAGACTCTCAGTTTGTAGCACGAGGTTACGCGCTTTCTTTATTTATACCGTCTGACTTTTCTTGCTTCTTTATTTGTGAAATGTAGTCCAGCTTGTTACACTCTGACAGAAATGTACCCGGCTGTGTTTCTGTGGTCGTCTTTAGGGTTCTTTAGTCAGAGCCCCCTGATCAACAGGTACGGTAACGGTAACAGCCTAGCCTTCTTTACAGCAGCTCATTATGGGCACCGTCTAGTTCAATTAAGCTCTATTTAAAAATCTTGGTTGAAGTCTAAATTAGCTGTAAAACTCATTTCTTTGCAATGCAGCTCACATTTTGTTCAGTTTCAGGGTCTGTGGTGATGTTGCAGTCATTACAGGCTATAAATACGAGACACAGAAGTCGTATGTTGTTAAATTGTGTGATGTTTCAAGGCTAGCCATGTATTTTTCTACAAGTTTAGGAAAATGTTGTGTGCTTATGGCTGATAGGAGACATATAGCATTTAATAGAAAACATCAAGGTTCTTTATGGAGGTCACTCAATAGGACGTCCGCTAGCAGGTATCATTCTGATAAGAATGTCTTAATCATGCGTTTTATATAAGTAGTCTGTAAATTATGTCATATGTTAAATTATATTTTTAGATGTATAACAGTTCTGGATACTGTGTCAAACTCACTGTGTCAGTCCTTCAAGTTAATTTGTTTACCACTGACTCTGAGAAACAACTTTGTTTTAAAAATCTTAGTTGCTGTTTCTCCTTTATATCAATTTTTTTTCTCCCTGGTCTTCCTCACTTCCCCAACTCCTTCTGCATTTCTCACCTTCTCCTCTCTGTCTGTTGGTCTGTCCTTTCTGTCCTCCTCATGTCCCCTCTCCCTTCATCTTCTACTCATTGCATCCTTTCTCACTTGCCTCAGCTCCGATCTCACCCCCCCCCATCCGCTGTCCTCCCTCGCTCTCGTCTCCTATTCTCTCTGTTCCTCCTCTGTCCCTAGCTTCTCTCATCCCACTCCCACTACTGTGTATCCTCCCCCTTTCTCTCCACTGCATTCTTTTTCTGTATATGCTTCCTTTCTTCCTTCAGATCTTCTTCTCTGTCTCTTTCTCTCATTCCCCACTGATTCTTTCTACCTCCTTTTTCACCATAGATGGTGTCTGAGCTGAAGTCAAGCTGGTTGTGAAGGTGTTTGACCTGCTCCCCTCGCCCCCAGACGGAGTGACCATGGCTGCGGGTGTAGCGGCCTGGCTTCCCTTCGCCCGGGCAGCGGCCATCGGCTGGATGCCCGTGGCCAACCTGCCCATGCCCTGTGGCGCCAACCGACAAGAACAAGTGCCAGGATGAACTCATCATCCTTAATGTCAGTGGCCGGCGCTTCCAGACCTGGAGGAACACCCTGGACCGCTATCCTGACACCCTTCTGGGCAGCTCTGAGAAAGAGTTCTTCTTCAACGAAGAGACACGAGAGTACTTCTTTGACCGTGACCCGGATGTGTTCCGGAGCATCCTGAACTTCTACCGTACGGGCAAGCTGCACTTCCCACGCTATGAGTGCATCACGGCTTATGACGAGGAGCTGGCCTTCTTTGGGATCATACCTGAGATCATCAGCGACTGCTGCTATGAAGAGTACAAGGACCGTAAGCGGGAGAACGCTGAGCGCCTAATGGATGATCTGGAGGACAGCAAGGACAGCAAGTTGCCCAACATGACCTTCCGTGAGACCATGTGGCGGGCCTTTGAGAACCCACACACCAGCACTATGGCTCTTGTGTTCTACTACGTCACTGGCTTCTTCATCGCAGTGTCAGTCATCACCAACGTGGTGGAGACAGTCCCGTGTGGCTCCATGCCCAACCAGCGGGACATCCCATGCGGTGAGCGCTACACAGTGGCCTTCTTCTGCATGGACACGGCGTGCGTCATGATCTTCACTGTGGAGTACCTGCTACGCCTGTTTGCTGCGCCCAGCCGGTACCGCTTTATGCGGAGCGTGATGAGCATCATCGACGTGGTGGCCATTCTGCCCTACTACATTGGCCTTGTCATGACCAACAACGAGGATGTGAGCGGAGCCTTCGTCACACTACGTGTCTTCCGCGTCTTTCGCATCTTCAAGTTCTCACGCCACTCGCAGGGCCTGCGCATCCTGGGCTACACGCTGAAGAGCTGCGCCTCCGAGCTCGGCTTCCTCCTCTTCTCCCTCACCATGGCCATCATCATTTTCGCCACCGTCATGTTCTACGCTGAGAAAGGCTCCACCTCCAGCAAGTTCACCAGCATCCCAGCCTCTTTCTGGTACACCATAGTCACCATGACAACCCTGGGGTGAGTTATACATCACATTTTGGCTTGAGGTTTCTTCTTTTTCTGATTTCAGGATGTTTAATAGATTCAGTCCACCAATATAACCTGAAATATCTAACCTGTTAGTGTCTTCCTTCGCCTACGTTTAATAATAATTTCCTAGTCCAGAGGATCAAAGCCTGGCTTTTTTTCGTGGACTTGTCTATAAAGTAATGATGAGTAAAGAATGATCTATAAAGGCGAGATGTATGAGAGGTGGGTCTATTAGGACAGCCTATGAGCATCAACCGTGCTGTCTTTCAGATGCATTGACTGTATGGATGACCTTGATATTCAGCTGCCCTTCACTCTGTTGATTTTATGCCTTATCTTTTTATGTGAACTTTGAAGGCTTTATCCAACTAGCACCTCCGTTTGAGTGTAAAATATCAATATTCTTGACGTAGAGACATGCCAGTGTCACACAGCTGTGAGTTTGTATTTAACTTGTTGCCTTTGGGCTGACTTTATTTATTGTCAATGATCTGCCAATTAATATTTAAAGTGGGGTGAAACAAGCCAAGGGCCATGCTCATGCAAATCTTTCACATTAAGACAAGCAGCAGGAACAACTCAATAACTCTTTATGGCACAGTATGTTCTGCTTTATGGCCTATGCCTCTTAGTGGCCCAGCACAGAAAAGAATAAAAGAGGGAGAGAGACAGACAGAGAGACTCCCAGATCCGCTCAGGTGGATGATTGGTTTTACGAGGTAGTGCTGGATTAATTAAGATTATTGGTTTATGAATGATTAATTGAGATGATTGGTTCTATGAGTGAGTGGGGGAGTCATGACAGATTATTGCTTCCTTTGGAATGCCGTAGCTGTAAAAATCATAACTGGGTCATTAGCTGTGTGCGTGTGTGTGTGTGAAGTTGCAGCCTGGGTGTCTTTGGTGTGGATGGCTATTAGGCAGGTTTTGCAGAGTCACAGTGACAAGTTGGTTTAAAATAAAACAAGCTCAGGGCTTCTACTGACAGTTTCTTGTTCATTTTTTGTATCTTATCTCTTGTTTTGGTGTCTTCTATGTTGTCATTTCCTGTCATTCCCTGTTTAAGCCTCTTATTTGTCTGATTGGCTTTTTGTGATATTAATAATCCCTGTGACTGTGGGATGTTCTCACCGATCTGTACTCTTGTATTCTCATGATTGGCTCTGGTGCCTGTTTGTCTCCAAAATGACTTGTTTTAAATACCATAAACTCTGGGTGTTTGCACAGGAGTCCTTGCTAGTTCATGAGAACTGACCCTCTTTGTGTGTGCGTGTGGCTCCCCTCATCAATAAAACACACTTTAGGGGTGTGTCGGTGTGACTAACGATGCGCTCCATGGCATCTGCTGACTAATGTAAACCATCACAACATTTACAAGCCCACTGACGTCACAGTAACAGAGAAAGAGAGAAGCTTGTGGTGGGTTTGCCTCCTGTTTGAGAGAATGGTGTGTGTGTGTGTTTGTGTGTGTGTGTATGTGTTAAGGGTGCACAATATATAGACTGCTCATGTATTATTTGCAGACAAGTGGGTAAATGTATTATTATTGTCAGTCTAATATTAGAATTACAGTTGATAATTACAAGCTATAACTTGTGCTCCCCATTTGTGCTCACAACACTGAGGCACATATAGTCACTATTGTGTTGGCTCAAAAGGTCCTTACTGAACTCACATAGACGTTTGATTGCCAGTTCAGGCAGGAATGGCATTGCTATATCAATAGGCCTGTCTTGATAATGAAATTTTAGCTGATGATTAATTACCATGTAAATTATTGCGATTAACAATTAAATTGTCTCTGCTGTTCATTGTATGTGACTATTAAAGTACAAGCCTAAGGCACTCAAATTAGCTATTTTGCTTCATATCTGTCGATATGTAGTCGATCCCAACTTATGACAGATGCAGCTCAAGCTCAGATAAACCAACATTACTCACCACTGCCCTCTAAAGATATTATATCGCCAGTCAGAATTCAGAACTTGTTGTTTTTGTAAGACCCACAACGTATTTCAATATATGCATTTTCTGCTTTCTTTTTTTTACATACATTTTCCTCAAACCAATGGATAAAAATTTACCTGCTCACATTCAGATTCTGTTTGTTGTGATGTAGACATATGATGGTGGAAGTGTACAACTGTGGAAATGAATTGTGATCAGCTCAAATAATCAAGATCATGCAATTATTTAATAATTGTGACAAGGCTGTATGTCAATAAGAGTCCTTAGGCAAGACTCCAAATGCTACATTTCCTTACCATTGTAACTCACTCTGGGTAATAGCTTCTGCTAAATATGTATAGGTTTATGATAAGTGACATCTAATTTCAGTGTGTCATATTTGTGAAATTTATATAAAATTAATCAGTAATCCATCTTTTATCCAGAGGCAAACTGAGAAGCCCTCCCAGGCAGTTAGTTCCAGTTGAATGGGGAGAGGTCTATGACTTTAAAACTAAAAGCCATGCTAACATTTTGAAAACATATTTGAAATCATTGATAAAATCACATAAATAGTGGCTTACACATTGTTTTGTCTACTGTGCATTTGCATGTCTCCATGACGAAAAGGAATGTCTCACCTATGATAAGCCAAGGCTATTGGCTCTTTTTATTATCTTTCTGTTATGCACTTTCATTCATATTACAACCAGTGAACAACTGGTTTGACTGTTTTAAATACAAAAAGAAAAATCGTTGGTTATTAGTTTAAATATTGGCCACAATGAGGTGTTAATCATCAGTTATTATTGTTGATTGTTTCATATCAGTGCATTCCTATTCTGTGTTTTTGTTTATTTTCTCGCAAAATCATATGAAGTGGATCTCCCCAAATTTTAATGTTAGCATACATGCCCAACAGTCCAGAGAAGACTCCATACATACGACAGTCCAGAGTGGCCATGAGGTACTTAAAAATTTCTGGACTGTTTTCTTGAGATCACAATGTATTTGTCTTGGGATCTCAAGATTATTAGGTTATTTTGAGAAAATAACATATGTTATCTTGACATCACAAGATGAATAAGTCATATCTCAGGATAACAGTCCAGAAAATATAACTACCTCATGGCTTCTCTGCACTTCTGTTTTAAAATCATTTTGAATCTGCATGAAATCTAAAATCAAGAATGTTTTGTGCTTTATGTTTTATAAGATAATTAAAAATGCAGTCATAGAGTATTAAAAAATGACTGAGCCCATGATATAACTATGGTGAACTGATACTATTACACCGAAGTTGGCTGGATGCGACTTCTAAAGGCACAGAATGGCATCAGCCAGAATGTCTTCTCAAAATGACTCTTCATGGGAAAAAAGAAACCTTATATTCTCCCTTTCCGCTTTGGACTACCCAGCTTTATTAGAAAGCAGTACACTCCCCAGACAGTAAATAATCATATTGGTTAGACCACACAGTGCTAAATGCATAAAGTTTGAGGAAGTACTGAATCTACTCTAGTGTGCCTGTATCTGTACATTACATAAAATCATCCATGAAGGCAAACACAAAAAGTCACGTAACGTCAGTTTTACAGCAGCTTATGTGAGTCTGCAGGCCTTGCTCCACCCTGGTACACTCATTGTATTCTATCAGAGAGACCCTGGCCTGCTGCCTACACAGAACAAAAAGTACCTGGATAAACTTGGATAAGCTCTAGATCACTGTTTTTCAAGCAGAAAAATTATGAGGGATGAAAACCAAGCTTTGTGCTCACTGCTCAGTCAGTCAATGCCCTTCAAGTATGAGAAGTTAATTAACTTACTAGTACATTTTTAATTGCTGTGAATGCACAGCCAAGCTCTTTTGCACCGGAGCAGAAATCAGCAAACCTCCCACGTTACTTTTTAATGGTGCACTAGATGCATTCATATTTATATTGATTGTCTATAATTAGAGATGGCATATTGCTATTGATGGGTATCAGTTTCAGGCCAATATCAGCAGAAAATGCTGGATCAGATATTGGAAGAAAAAACAGAGTGAATCCGATCCAATCTTGTGACAAATCAAGCCTGAAATAGCACACCCTCCCGCTGTTTGATGTGATGTTGTTAGCTGTGTTTTTTTCCTCTGGGGTAGTAGAGTGATTGAGTAGTTTGAGCATAATAGCCTACTTTTAGATGTCCAACTTAAGTGAAGTGCTTCAATTAAAACAGCTATTTTTAAAGGTTGGTAGGTTTTAAAGTAAAATTATCAGATCAGTATTGGTATCAGCCAAAGGCTCAAGGTTTTAGTATTGGTGTTAGCCAAAAAAGGGTTTAATGTAAGCTCTATCTTAATGTATTTACTAGTTTAATACTCAACTATCACATTCTTTATGTTGATATTTATTTCCTTGTTTAGTATTCGGAAGCTACTTTTTTGTTAACCCTTTAGACACAAACGGAATCCTACAACAATGTTGTGGATACCTGACAGTTTTTAGAGTTAGAGTATGTTTTAAACAAAACATTTTATCATAAAACCAGGAGAAAATGATGATTATTTAATGGTAGGGCAAGATAATAGGCTATAAAAATTGTTAAAGCACATTAGGTGAAACAAGGCCACACTCCTCCTATGCATTTGAAAGTCACCCCATTTCTTTAAAAGACTGAAGCAAGATACCATAGCAAGATAACATAGTAAAAGATATTAGAATGGGAAACAGGGTCACTCAGTAAACACACTTGTTTACCCACATAAAGCTGAGAGATGGAGATAAACAGAGGCAGCGGCCTAGCTGATCACTTTAACTGATTCCTATAGAATATCAGCTGAAGTTGGTAAGAACTTGGCTATCCTTTCAGTAACTAGCCAAACTGACACATGCTGCCTATGATGCTTAAAATTATTGGTTTATGAGCAAAAATCAGTATTATCATTTTTAAGGGTAGCATTGAGAATATGTATTCAGAGTTAGTGCTTCTAAATGAGTATTCGAAGCCTGTAAATTGCTGTTCGGGCAGCCTCGTAATATAGGCATGCTTTTATTTTG